CTGGTGTTATAATTAGACATTCTACAGACAGTGATTCGGGGCACTAAATTCATATCCTTCCGCTATACCTGTTGTTTTCCTTTTTTTTAGGGTTTAGGCAATTTCATTTTTACTTTCGTTAGACACTTTTTCTTTCATACTTTCTGTCGCGTTGTGTCTTGTTGCATTTTCGTTTACACTCAGACGTTTCGATTTAGTCGTAAAATGTCAAGTTAATGTGTTAGTACTGTAGTTGAGGTGATTCACAGGAATGCACGTGTAATTGCATTAAAATGGATAAATGCATCATTATAGAGAAATATGTCACATCATTTATGTGCATCCAATAAACAAACTAATTGATACCCCTACTCATCACCAACACAGGCCACGTTTCCAGGCCAGAATATACACCATAGTATTGCCGTTGCTGTACCGAATTCCAGCCTTCGTTGCTCGGGAGATCAGGTTGTTTATTTGTATTGATCCATCTGCCTAGGTTGTAGTCACATACACCGTCTCCCTCAGACAAGCTATATTTCAAAGAGACAAAAAACAATCCCATGTAATGGATTTTCTTGAATATGTTATGTAGACATGTGCTGTTTAGAATTACATTTAGAATCATAACACATCCACTACAATAATATTTTGACAAAACAAAAACCAATTATGTTTTTTGAAGATATAGCTGACATGTTTCATTTGCTCAACATTTTCATTTCAACAAATTTTATTGGACAAAAACAATTGAACAAATGGATTAGACAACAGGCTTAGCTTATATAAGTCTTCTCCTAAACATTTTGTTTCGTTAGAGATTGCAGTACACACACTTTCAAATTAAGATGCATGGACAAAAATGCCTTGTTGCACGGAGATTATAAATACAGAAACAATGGTTTATGTGATGTATTTAAAGTAATTGTCAGGAGGAATGTCGTTAGCCTGTGTTCGTGCCAGGCACATAAACGAAACATCCTTCGAGAGTGTATTGTATTACCTTAGTTCTATTTTTCGATATCTGACGGTATTAAAATCCTATGTTTAAACAACGTGTTAACAGAACACGATTACTGAACAAAACAGGCTCATCGCAGGAATGTGTTTTATATGACTCATCTTAAAATTGAAGACAATATGTGGGACGTAGCACCCATTCCCATACAGCTAATGTATTACAAGTGTACCACAGGAAACATCCATCTAAACGAGGAATAGTAAGTCAGATATACCATGTCAGCATTTGTACCAATTTGACAAAGCATGAAACTCATGTTTCAATGAAATGTGTGCTTAATAATTACTTTTGAACATATTTTGAGCAGATGTGTGTACAGTTAAACACCGCAGGACAAACGGGACTATCTATCCAACAGTATATAGTAATCTATTGCTGAAACAAACGATTGTTTTGTTTCCTCTTCAAGGTATAGATAATTCCAAGGGATACACTGACATGAAAGATAGCAATACGTTTGTGTCAGTAAGGTCGTGATCGATCCTGATTTGCACATTTTATGTCTGAGTCGGTATGATACGTAATACCCAGGTGATTCTCATATCGTTTGTTATTACCAGTGTAGTACGTTTATATTGGTGGTTTGGTAATATCCGAAGAGTTTCGAATTTGAGCTGCTGCTGATGTTTGTTTCGAAGTCAGCACTATCCTTACATACAACATACTGAGGGGAATGAACTGAGCTAAATGAGTATACAATGTATGTTACCGTACTGCCAACAGAGACTAAAAGATGCATGTTACCTTATTGTGACACAGACACTTAGGGAGATATGTTACCGTACTGTCAACAGAGACTTAAAGATGCATGTTACCTTATTGTGACACAGACACTTAGTGATGTATGTTACCGTACTGCCAACAGAGACTTAAAGATGAATGTTACCTTATTGTGACACAGACACTTAGGGATGTATGTTACCGTACTGCCAACAGAGAGTTAAAGATGCATATTACCTTATTGTGACACAGACACTTAGGGAGATATGTTACCGTACTGTCAACAGAGACTTAAAGATGCATATTACCTTATTGTGACACAGACACTTAGGGAGATATGTTACCGTACTGTCAACAGAGACTTAAAGATGCATGTTATCTTATTGTGAAACAGACACTAAGGGATGTATGTTACCTTACTGTGACATAAAGACTTTAGGCTATATGTTACCTTACTGTGACATAAAGACTTAAGGATGCATGTTACCTAACTGTGACATAAAGATTTAAGGATATATGTTACCTTACTGTGACATAAAGACTTAAGGATGTATGTTACCTTACTGTGATATGGAGACGTAAATATGAATGTTTCCTAACTGTTACACAGATAGTAAAATATGTATGATACCATACCATGACAAGAAGTCATTATCTACATGAGAGCGATGAGCAAATTGTTCGAAAGATAAATACTGAAAAAAGTATGATCTATATACTACGTCCTTATATATTTCTCCATTTAAAAAGGTCAAGTAGACACCATATTGATCACCGATCGCCTTTCACAAACGTAAATCGGTTTGCGCGGAGGAATACAATGAACCTTAAAACGTCGTAGGAAAACAATATTTTTAAAACGATCCTATTGTCATTAGATTTTCTATATGCACATTAACGCTTGAAATGATGTTATTATCTCACAATAATTTTTTGTAACATTTTATTGATTTGTTAATGACGGACTATAAACTTACGCGGATCAGTTTTGTGAAGATATCATTTTAAGTTAAAGACGTCACCTGGCGCGAGCAGACGTTCTTTTTTTGAGAAAATACGTTCCCAAATGCCGGAAAATGGGAAAGTCCGTTCTCATGTTGTTCTCAAGTCGTTCTCAACTTCTTCTGGTGTAATATCATACTGACAATCCATGGTGATGAATGTATCATGCTTACGGTAGTTGGTATAAAGTAGTATATAGATGATAATCAAAAATATGTCATGAGATAACCCAACATCAGTCAAAGCTTTCTAAATAATTAGAAAAGATGTTGTCGTGCAGAATTTTGCCTTTCAGTATGGAATGATTAATGCTTGAAATCAATGATAGAAAAACCGACTTATTCTATATCATTGTAAGATACTTTTTTAATATTCGCTTAGAATATATCAAATGTCATTTTTTTCATTTAGTAGTACGATTTCAGGATTACGTTAATGTTTTTTTTATGCCAATAACCAAGATATTCTTGAACTTGATATTCAGACTCGTTTTACATGTACGACAAACATACTTTTATATATATGAAAAATGCAATTGTTCAATAAATGAATCATGATTTGTTCTTTTCATTAACATGTAATATTAACAGAGGGATTGATGTAGCAGGGAATTCCCCAGGTCATACCAATACTGGGTCCATTATTATACGTCGTTGTCTGTTGGTAAAAATACTAATAATACCAATATTGCCCCAGTGGATTGTGATTGATTACTTCCTTTGATTACATTATACCCCTCGACAAGCTTAAGGGTAACTGTACCTAATACTGTTAAAGACAGCGAGTTCTATCTCTAACTTCAACGTGTATAATGTATTTAACAGCGCCAGAACGTATATTGGTACAGTCAATATCTAGAGTAGGTTTGCTGTTTTAACCTTTGTTGTCTAGTTTAAATTGCATTTATTATGCTATCTCATATCTGTCATATTTTCTATTCGCACAAGGATGCTAGACATTATTACCTGATGCTGAAATTGTGTCAAAGGATTTTCTAACAAGCGAGCAGTATGCAAATGTTATATTTCTAACTATGCAGCTGTGCATGCGTTGTAATTAGGAAAAGATAGTGTTTTGCAAATGTTCATCTCATTTCTGGGGATAATGGGGATTACGTATACAGTAAAGCTATACTTGTTGGTGGACGTATTATAATAACACGCCCATGTGCATAATAGATTATAGATATTATATTATATAATTATCTTAAACACTGGAATTAATAGAAAATCGATTAGATGGATTACCTCATGAGGATGAACTGATCCGGGCAGAGTGAGCAGATAAACAGTCTAGTTAGTCTCAATAAGTCAACACATTAAAAACCATGTACATTGCAACAAACTCATACATGTATAAACCAATATAAATCTAGATCATATTTGATTGTAAGCTAAGTCTTTGTTATACATATATCTAGTTTTGTTTTGATTTTGTTTAACGTCCTGTTAAAAGTTAAGGTCATTAAAGGACGTGCCATCATGTGTGTTGTGTATGTGTGTATGTGTGAATGTTTGCTGGAATCTGGGTATGTTTGTGTATTTGCCTCCTGGCGATAGGACGGATTGTATACCTTCTTTTAAGTGCTACCTTATTGAAAAACCATGTCAAAGGCACCGAGTAATATTTTTGTTATGCTGCATATGTTTACCAGTTGTTTCTATAACGCTAAAACCCTTAACAAATATTCTGAAGCGAACTAATGCTTTTAATGTACACATGTATTGGTGTCTGTCATTGTATGTTTTGATATCGCAGATTGACTCCTGAATAGTATTTGTAACTTAGTTAAGAAGACAAGTAAAGGCCAAATGCATTTTGACTCAATTCGGTCTAGAGCATGTTTAGATCAAATGGATTAAATGTTGAATGAAAGGGGGATAAAAATAGTAATAAACTGCTTAAAATTCTCCTCCTTAACTGGAACTCCTGGAACTGGGCCCAATATGATCTTCCGTTATAATGAAAGGAATTTCACCATATTTGGTCTTTAGGTATACCATTTGCATAAGCAGAGTATGTGCCCAACGTAGGGGCAGAGGAACAAAGCTAACTTGAAAAAATAGAAGTAAATCTAGCGCAAAATGAGGAAATCATATTGGTTTAATATCAGGTGTGCGATACAGACCCTCTGTGTCTCTTGTCGATGTCAAATTATAAGAAAATGTCGAACGAGATAACACGTCGATATAATTAAAGAAGGAACCGACTGAATACAAAACATCGCTAATACCTTTAACCACACTAAACACAATCGAACACCAGCTTGTTATAGGATACCAGTTTATTGTCAAACAGACATGTTCATCAGTAAGAAACATACGCATCATCTACAAATTTTAGCCGCTGATCTGCATTGCTTGTGTCGACACGTCTTTCTTAAGTAGCCATCTATTACGCGTCTTTTTTTTATTAAAATAAACCTATCTTTCTTCTTCATTCACTGGTTACATTTTCTTATGAAAGCCAGCAACAGTACCATGTTACTTTGATCTGTGATTACAAACGCATTCAAATGCTTTACAACGTATAATAATAGACCTTTCAAAGGCGAGACAGTACAATTCCTAACGCTTGCCAATTCCTTCACAAGGTATTATGCATATATTGCGATATTTGAAAGATAACATTAACATATGTGGTTCGTCCTTAATCGATGAAATATGGGCATGGGTTGATAATGACTTAAGGAGACGACGTAGATGTTCGTAAAAAATACAAAAAAAAATAATATCTGGATAAGAAAGCTACTTACAAGATATTGTTATTGATTATTAATCAGCTATATAGAATAACAAATTTGAACACAACTCGATATGACAATTGTTCGATGATTGTGGGTTGATATAAAAAAAAGTAAGAAACTAAGAGGCAAGCGACATATATGAGAAATCATATTGACTTACACCAATGCACAGGATACGTCCATCTAAGTCGAATCCTCTTTATTTGGTTCTCAGTTTTATGAGTGTAAACGAATTACGCAATTATTCTTACCTTAACTAAGACCACTTGCCGATTCGTTTCACAAATACTTAAGAGGTGCTAAATTCAATCAGTCAGTGCAATCTCATCAAGTACAGCAAGTAAAGGGCAGCCATTTCGAATAAAGGTTAATAAACATGTTGTTCACACTATTTAAACATAGGAAATGGAGTAGGTTGACGACAGGGTAGTTATTTAGTTGGAAGCTTCATAGGTCATTTGGAACATTTGATTTTGTTTTGAAAAATGACTACAATTTTATGTGTAGAAAAATTGAAAGTTATAACATAAAAGCCGAGAACATATTCATGTACAGGTTAATATTTTTCATCCCAAAAGGCTGCTTAAATAGTGTAGCTTCAATCTTTCTTGATATTTCATCGTAAACGTCCGTGTGTTTTCAGCTTTGTGCTTTCTCAGACATTTACCAACCTGTCATAAGATAAAAATATACTGACACACTTCACAGTTCAGTCACGTTGTGTAGACTGGTACAACTGGAACTGGTGTCCAATCTATAACCTGCCAAAAGATACGTGTAATAAATGCCTTATATTGAACAAATATGTTAAATCATTTTAAATAAATGTGTGAAAACGGAATACAATTTTGCAATATTTTTTTCGACATTACCATAGATAAAAATATAGATTTAATTGCCAAGAAACTAATGTTGTCAAGAACAAATAAGGGGTGGTTTTAGCTATGTTTTTGTCCAGCTTAGTACCAAGCATAATACAGATGTTAATATCGTGATACATCACTAATAAGTCAGAAAGCGAAATAACTGATTTTCAAATTACCATTAAGCATATTAACATTACAGTATGTAGAACAGTGATCGTTTAAATGCTATGTAAGGACATTAAATAAAACAATAACTTGCTAAAGACTAATATTACAATATGTCTGCTTACGATCACTGCACCTACCCTATTTTTCACTTCTAAACTTATAGATTTCATCGCTATTTTTATCTTTAGAATGGTACTTATAAAGTCAGTATGTGTGTTCCAATAACACAAAAACTGATTAAAAAAACCTAGACAAGACATAATTGGATGTTTTATCATCAGCACAATGTATGATGGTCTTTGGCCTCAATAAATATATTTACATTCACTCTGCATCTTCACATACATTTTAGCAATGCAAAAAAATGAACAGGTTTTGTGAGAACGTCCCACCATCTAGTCATGTGATACAGCAATTATGACGTCACCGATTTAATTATGGTAGCACTGATTTAGATGTTCTAAGAATATAGCGAACTAACGTTAAGGGCGAGAAATAATTAACCTAAATGCTATTAAATATAAATATAAGTTAAGTATGTTTAAGAAAATTGGGTGTGTTACCAAAACATGGCAGTGTGTAATACGACCATAACACAATCTGCTAAAACATTGTTTGCTTAAATGACTTCAAAAGCAATCAAATATATTGTTGATGTGGTTATAAGCAAAAAGATATCACAGTTTTAATATTACATCGTATAACATCGTAGAGTCCAAATCGTGATATTTGATAATCTTCGATGTCGTTTTAACAAATATCCATTAATTCTACATCTTATAAAATGTAATAATAAGAAGCATATTTATGTTAATGTTTAGCATTTGAACTGATCTTATGACATAAAAATGTCATAACAAATGGCTACACAATATAAAATATTTATATTTAATACGTGTTTAACTGTCTGATAAAAGTCCACTGTTTTATTCGATAATTGACATGTAGATGTTGATGGTTTTGTCAAACATGTTTTTGTCCCTATGCATGTTGTTTTCACCTCCTCTAACGTCAGTACTTATCATCACGTACCTAACACGGGTACGTCAAACTTCAAAAGGTGCTAAACTTATCCAGATGTAATTGGCATATCGTATATTATAAGTGTGGACACGTCACGACAAGCTATGCAATCATGTGCTGTTGACGTCATATGCTATTATAGCTATATTGTTTTCAAAATCACTCTATCACAGTATTGGTCAGGATTTCTAGCGTAGCATCCTCCTCAATTTTAGTCAGGATAAAACACCGCTTCTATTTCCAATCAAAGTTGTATTTGTAGTGAAGTTGGCGGCTACCGTTGTCATGGTACCAGGGGCTTCTGATGGTCCTCGGAGGTTGTTGGCATCTCTTACTGTAGAAATTAAAGCAAAAGTACAATAGTGATAATAATTAAGAATATATACATATTTTTTCCCCCTGCAAAATAAATGTTCGCTCCTTAGCGATCCATCTGGATGTTATGAAATGACATATTATCTGAAGTTCATTTATATACCTTGGTCGTCCGGTAAGAAATTTTAGCAGAATATAAATAAGAAAACAAAGGCTAAGTTATCTAGATTGATGTTATAAACTTAAGAAGATGTGCCATTTCATAACACTTTATGTTTCCAAAGGATACTTTATATATGTATATGCCATTACGGTCACAGGGCACAGGGCCCTTGGTTTTTTATATATATATATACACACCGGTAAGATATGTTTATCCGGCATTTTACTGTGATTTGTTTTGTAGTCCAATAGTCACAATCAACCTGTTTTGAGGCCAACATGTCCCTATCCAGCTAGTAAAAGTGAAAATCAACTCTGCATGACCTAGGTATATAAATGAACTTAAGATAATATGTCATTACTTAGCATTTAGTTAGGTTTCAAAAGATGTTGAAATGTTATAAGTCCGATGAACTAGTTTGATGAAAACATCAGCCTTAATGCCTTGTGATTGATTATGTTAACTAGCTAATGTACAAGTTCAGTGTTTTTAAAATGCATAAATAAGTTCTGATTTTGAATTTAGTATTTGAATTTGGTTTATCATAGGGTTGGAAGTTGTAGGATGTAGGGGGCTTTTTGCAGTCTAAAGACAATACTTGAGATGTGTGTGGTGTGAAAATAAAATATGATGACATTTCGTATGCAAATGGTATGTCGGTAGCGCTTTAGTTTTGTACTTGGTCACTGATTCATTATTAGAATTTAGAGGACCAGTAAAACTATAAGTAGCGAGGTCGTAGGCCTTCGTATAAGCCTGACGGTCACATTCATATAACAAACTATATACTCGGTATATGATTTGAAACCATTGAAAAGTCAAAAGACTTGATTGATTAAAGCTTTAACGTCGAAAACTAATTTACAATTTGACTTGATAATATTTGAAATGCTTATTTATGTCAAACTTGAAAAGTGTCAATATGAAAATATTAACCGATTTTTCCGATGACTTGTCGACCGTCTTTTACCTAATCGGATTTCACACATCGATTATCAATAAATTCTTTACCGTATCAGAAAATGCATTTCCTTTCCAAAAGCAATAGTTTTACGCGATTGCTCTTTTTAAACATTTCTTTGTGATAATATTTGAAAAGTATGCAAAACATTTTTGATAATATCAATTAGGAGGCGCGGTAGTCTAGTGGTAGGACGCCGGGCTCGTGACTGAAGGGTTGCGGGTTCTAATCACGTCACAGCACTGTGTTGTATCTTTGAGCAAGATACTTTACTCCGCTTGTTCCAGTCTACTTAGCCGTAAATGAGTACGTGGTTTGGCAGTGCTAGGGTTGTTGAATGCTAGCCGTTAGCGCCGAAATGGTATCTCCGGCTGTATGCTCCCCAGGGAGTTGAGAAAGATATTGGCTGGTTGCATAGGCCCTATAACCACGGATAATAATTTGTGAACCGCTTTGAGACGACCTACGAACTTGGTTGTGATAAAGCGGTATATAAGAACCTCGAATTATTATTTATATTTTAGGTTGTAAAGTAAAATGTAATCTTAACACAAACGTTAACATAAATTGCAAAGTGAGATGTGAAAGGTACAATATACATGCATAATGTGAAATGTCGCATATAACTTTATCTCTAACATAGAACAAGTGAAAGTACTAAATGAACTCTAAAACAAAACAAAGGGTACTGAACACGTGTTCATCATGTAAGGTAGAATATAATATTGATGCAAACACAAACACAAGGATTCTTTGTTTTGGAATATATATAACCGTCTGCAGTATTACGTAAGATATGTACAGACATCATTTGTTAGCCAGACTGATAGAGTATCCACGTACTTATAGGAAGTTATCATCGAGGTTGAACTAAATCCCAAATGAGATGTTTTTCACTACAGCAATGTATTTTACGGTGTTCTCATGTGACCTATTTTCTGAAGCATTAAACTTTGATGCAATCATGAATCTGTTTTCTTATAAATGTCTACAGATTGTAACACCGTCAATCACAATAAGGTACATGGAATAAAATATAGACACACTAAATTCCTTTATCGATTTCAATCACTTTACATGCATGCAAGCAGCTCCAGCCTAATACCCGCTCAATTCCGCGTCTGACACTTGCCTTTGGCAATGTCCTACAGATTGGAATGTGGTAGCTGAGTGTCTTGTTTATAGGCAATTTAAAGTAATACAATAATGTATATTACCGACAGGCTTAGCACTTAGACATTTTATGAACTGATTTTGAAATTAAAGCAAAGAAATGTAAAGGTATTCTAATAAGTTGCATTGCAATACTGTTTAATGAAAATAAAATGTCCATGTAAAACGAGAATGACCATTTGGTAATCTCAAATACGCTCTGCATCTAGGGGTTTAAAGGACGGTCATCGCTGGGTTAATTTGTCAATTTTACATCAATATAGCAAATCATCTAGATGGAAAGTCAGTAAGTTATGAATTTTGAACATGTGATGGTTGATTCAAAGATAAGATTCAAATCTAATTGAGTAAACCTTTCTCCACAAACACACATTTACACACACACACACACACACACACACACACACACAACGATGTGACCGAGTCAGCTTATTCCCACCTATATACCAGATGCACGTTATAAGCTTGGTGCAAAGAAACACAAAAACAGTAATGAGAGAAACATAAGCTGTGCTACTTACCGAGATCATCAATGTGATCGGACATAATAAGCGAGATCATGACTAGGAGAACACTGACAGTGAACATCACACTTGATACGATCATAACCGCCCGGGCAATGAACTTTTGTCTTTTTGTCTTGCCCTCGACATGGATATGTACATTAGCCGCGTGCTGTCGATGTAAGAGAATATCACTGAAAAGCGTCTGCGCAACTACAGGATCTATGTAATACACATCCTGATGGTAGTTATCGTACGAACCGTCCGTGATGATCTCAATATCGTCTTCGGTCATTGAAACACCTTCCCAGTGGAGGTGGTCACATTGCGCATGCGCGTGAGGGCCCTGGTCCACCAGTATGGCACCCTGAGCGGACCAAGCCTGTTCCGATAGGCATTCCATTTCGGATGTTTCCGACCATTCTTCGTTTCCTTCCAGTACAAGAGCAGTGTCCTGTCGTGACAGCTCAGAAGATTCGTCCGTGTATTTTTCCGACATTGTTGTCTGGCTGCACGTGCATTGACACTCGCCGTGACATTCACCTTCTGAGAGGAGCTCACTTGTTTGACTCATTCTGATTTCGATGGAGACAAAGTTGATCTGTTCAACACTTGTTCCTTTCCATGGTTACCATTTGTGAACGTAATCAAATAGCAATCCAGTTATGTCGTCCCTGGTGGACAAATAAAAGTAAGCTGCTTATATGATCAAGGTAAACTGAAAATCAATATCTCAACTGTTTCGTTCACTTTGTGCAAGCTTCCTCGCTGATATATCGAGTTAATTTGAAAACTATTTACAGATTTTCTTGAAAAATGTATCGATTGATTCAATGTTCATGTCCTCATTGGGTGGTATCCAAGAGTTCAGTTGGTATATCTTTCCTTACTGATATCTATTGGAAGTTTGTAATCTATGTAATTACACAACACTGCAGATTAATTTTCGCATTTCACTTTTTCCATTAACATTTTAACATAGGTAGTGCATACGATATTGGAAGCGTGCTAATTGATGATAATGTTTTGTTAAAACTTCTTACGTTGAAGTACACGGCAATCTAGTCGGCAATTATGCTAATTTAGTTTGTCAGTCACGTGTATCTGGCCACAACTGACTGCACTGTATGTATAACCTTCGTTAGCTTTGTAATCATTAAAGCATCCCGATACTAATTAAGAAATACTCCGCATTATGAATCGCCAACTACCTGTTAATAGAATATGCTTATGCTAAACGAAAATAGATGGCTCTTGATGTAACCAAACGAAAGCCCTTGTGGTCGATCCTTGAACGAGAAGATGTTTGAGTAAACAAATTACTCAGATATAGATTGTTTTCCTTAACAAAAGATTCCACTGTATATCATCCTGGCAGAAATAGCGTAAGCATTATTTAGTTTCCAATAACGCACCATTAAACAGCTAAATATAACTCGGAGATTGCTGTATTGGTGTCTATATCCAGCGTTTGCTGGACAGTGTTCCAAGACTGATATCTCCAATACTTCATGAATCCGACATCAGTAGGCGTCAGGCGAGTCTGTTTAAAAGCATTATTCGCCTATCCCCTTGATGGTAAAGTCTGAAAAATACAAAGTAATCGACTTTATTGTATTAATAAAAATCAATATTTCATATTTTTTTTATGAAACTCTCTAATTGCTGTCCGTAAATTTCCTGATACAACATTAGGAATTGATGCAGATAATGCAAACCTTAGTTAACATGATTCTGGGCTAGAGTAACAATCGATCGAACAAAGTTACTTCCTTAATAAGGCAGGTCTCAGTTGTCAAAGGCATTCTGACAAAACGTTTTGATCTGTGCCATTCATTTTCAAAAACATTGCAAGGTTTAAATTAAAAAAAAATACATGATCCATTCTCTGAGTTAGGACCCGACAAGTATATATGTTTCCTATAACTATGATAAGATTTCTCATTTCCGACGCACTGGGAAAAACAATCTGCTAGGATTTGCTAAACAATTGTTTGGTTAAACATGAATGAGTTTAACTATTGTTTTTAATTATGACGTCAAGTTACAATGCTTTGCGCCGGTGTCTTCCATTGCAATCGTTACCCGATCAGAAAAGGTAGCAGGTGTTTCCTGCAGAAACATTGAGTTTCTAAATATTATAATAACGTTATGAAAAAAAATGTACTCAAACCCATGATGTATGGTTAGTTTATTTTTGCCTCGTAAAAACATACACAGTAAACCGAGTTTTGAATTTGACTAATGATAGTTAAATAAACACGATAATTAAACCTACTGGCACTCTTTTGGAAACCTCGACATATTAGTAAATTCAGAGGCGAACGTAAATGCTCAGACACAGTATTTCCCCCTGAAACCAGGTCACTAACGGTCTGGTTCTGTATTCTAGGTACATGACTGTAGGCCGCTCGTGTCGACTACGAGATTACATTTCGTCTGTATGTCTTTCCTCTGTAGTGTGGTTTTGATACCTTGCCTCGTCTCCGTTTCGGCTGCAGTCTTTTAGTTTCGTATTTGGGTCAGAATTCTGTTCTTGGCAATTGGCGGGTTTACTCGTTTTACTTGATGGCTTAAGTTTTACAACTAATTAATCTAACTATGATTTGTAAAGATTTGGAAAGAATGGTTCGAGTCATCAGTTATTAAATGTCTCAGATATTCATTTTTCTTTCTTTTAGATGCGCATTCATTAATGGCATATGACGTATCCAACATTGCACAGGGTATTAATCATATGATTTGTCATCTTTCATATTTGTATGCACTTTTTATATAAATACTTCACACGGGATTTATCTTCGATTCCAAGTCGCGAAAGAAGACTTTTTGTTTTTAAAAAACTCCATAATAATCGACACCGACCAATACTACGACATTTACGTGTCTTAACAGTATAGCATTACATCAAGTATGTGTACAGTGTAAAGGAATATCTAATAATTTAGCAGGTCATTTTAATTTTCCTATGTCACGAGTTCGTAAAAATGTGTTTTGGCATAATGCTCGACATTTTTTTTTGCATCAGTGTCCAGAATTGAGGTTCTGTTCATATATACGAGTATAAATGAATATTTGCTTCACCATCAATTTATTGTCACTCTACTGTAGTAAAAATGGTCTATTGTTTCCTTCACGTACCGACGTCACATCCTTACTTTTCTATGTGTCAATAGGAATACTCCCATTTAAACAGATACCGTTATTTACACGGATTAAAAATATGGCTTACATTTAGCATTTTGGAACGAGCATGCTATTATTCACTTGCCAGTTACACTACATTTCCATTCAATTGTATTTTATATTCATCTAGCGAATTCACCTTAAAGCCATTCACAGCGACAGATGGCATAGGATCTGAAAGGAATACAACGTGCGGTATAATGGGTAATGTTTTTTAGAATTCGTGGCACGCTTAGGTATTAGGAATTTTTACCACGCATTTACAAGTTTGCATAACGCAGAATATATCCATCCCTATACGCCTGCAATTATTTATGTTTCTGCTTGTATCGTGTGTGTGAATTATGTGATTGTATTGTAGTAGATGCATCCGCATTGATTTTGTGTATTTATATTGATATTATCCAACCATGCTAAAGTGTTGATTAGTAGATGTTGTATCTAATTTTACAACAAGCAGGTGAACATTAAACCGCTGCGTGAACAAAAAAGAACTTCATACTTTGTTGACAACTTCATGGATTATCCCATTACCATTTTAATTCTAATCAGATAAACTGTTTTGTTTTAATTCAGGTATACTTGACTATATTTTACTGTCACCATCACCTAGCTTATTGTCATATTTTGTTGACGTCGACAACGCTTTTTATCACACTATGTTGATATTGGTATATCAGTGTTGACATTGATATAGTCAATTATCATATTAGTATGTCAACATAGCTTTTTGCCATGCTATGTTGACATTGAAATATCAGTGCTATATTTTGTTTACATCGATAAAGATTACTGTCATGTTTTGTTGACGTCGACAAAGCTTATTATCATGCTGTGATGACATCGCTTTGTCAGTGTCATAATTAGTCTGTTGACATCAATAAACGTAACTGTCAATTTTTGTTAGCGTTGATCAAATTTGTTTTCATACTTTTGTTTCACCAGTTTAGTTTATCTTACCATCATACCTAGAAGAGGATATATACATCGTTAGCTGTTTATGTTATGAAGATCTTCCACATATAATTGACGGTTTGTCTATCTCTATGACCATTACCATACCAAATAATACGTTTCCTTACAAGAAGTACACATACAGTTTTGTAAGTACATGTATAATATACATTTTACGATATTTTATATACAAAATATATGCTATTGTAAGAACTCCTAAACTCCCTACCTCAGAATAAATAAATGAATAAATACGTATGTGTACTTTCTAACACGACACCTCCATGAATGCGTCTCTATTCATGAGAAAACATTTTAAACGAGTGTTTTCCCTTATTGTTATTGAACGAATGATGCATAGCAAACTAGCTGCATGTATGTAATCATCAGCGATCCGCGACGGAAAAACAAGTCACAGAGTATTGGTAATCGATCAAACACAACTATTCAATACGACCGATGTTGACATCACCCAGTACTTCACAGTTATTAGAATCCTATATTACGCAAAGAGGTATTCAAAACACCCACCTTACTGATAATATGATGTAAATTACATTCAATCATCACGAGTGACGTGTATTTATTCTTATTGCACTCTTGTTTATATGATATTGAATTATTCCAGATGAACTATTTGTATGCATGAGTGTGTTTATCTGTAGGCAATATTTGTTTAGAATCGACGGGAAAATGTTTTGTAGAACATGTTGTGATTCTTGTTAACTGTAGTACATATTATTGAATTATTTATAAGGACTAAACAGTTGTTTATTCCAGATGAACTATATGTATGCATGATTGTGTTTATCTGTACGCGATACATGTTTAGAACAGACCGAAGAGGCTTGGTTGAACATGTCGTCATTAACGCATCTGCGCTACCAAATGACGTAGTGCCATCAGCCGATTATATCTGCAACCATGGACTAATGGTACACAGCAAATGACTAGTTGATACGTAATACGTAATAAAGGAGTGTCCAAACGTACATCAAAACCTGGTACTAAACACTTGATAGGGCTGTACCAAAATCTTGATCGAGCGCAATCTTACCAACGGCATGAAGTAAAACAAAAAGCTAACAAATGACATAAAAACAATACTAACGGTACAACGCCACTGACAAGTTACTACAGTTTATTTTCTGATGGGGGGATTTTAATAGTTTGTTAGTCTTATTACATCATAAATTGGGGTTAATACACATAGATTATGTAGAACTAGCCCTAAGATGAAATTAGCTACGAAGTAATAATAACTTCCACAAATAGATTTTATGGCTGAATTGAAATCGATAATTATAGGCTAAATTGGTGAACAACGTTTAAGGTTTGGTGTGCTCGTATTCATTTGACAACATGAAGCTAAGGAAGCACTTGTATCATGCTTTAATTTAAGGGGCTACTTTTAATCAAAACAAGTTTTGTCATATATATTCATTAAAATTGACATTAACTACACAAGTTGATGATCAATTCTATCAAATTACACGATGTTATAATTATCTGACATAGTGATTGAAGACCAACTGGGCGAACTCATGATATTTCATACTATAGAAGAACATTTACTTACATGTATGATATAGAATAAAAATTGTTATATTTTTTGAATACAATCAGCACATTTTTGTAGTCCTCCGTTTTTACGTGCTGCATTGTTTAGAGGTTTAATGCTTTAATAGAGTTTCATACTAAAACGAAACATACATTGTAGGCAAATACATTCACATCATATCGTTAAAGGCTAGAGGCAGACTAGATGTATCGCTAAAAGTATATATAAAGGTTTATTGCACTTTTGAGATTAAAGTTGGATTTGAAATGGAAACAACAAAGACCTCTAAAGTCAGATACACATTCGACGTGCTTCTTGTATCTGTCTGTTTAAAGGTATACTGTATTGAAATGTATACGAGACAAAAACAATCCTATTAAAAGTCAGGCTTTGAACTAATAAGAATTTATGATACGTCAAAATCAGGATAATATAAATAATATTTAAGACTCAAAAATAATACAGCTGTGAATTTGACGCAACTTTAAAAATGCATTGTTTACATCCTATTTATCTACGAACCTCCTTTTGAAGATTTAATGTTAGTTCGCTGGTGACTCGCAAATAGAAGTCAATATCTGATTCATTAATGCATTTCCGTTTCTTCGTTCTTCATTCGTTTGCTTGTTTTGAGGGATTTTTTAAGTCCGCGCGATAACCAGCATTATGTTTTGACGGAAGCCACAGGAGACATTGCAGGTAAGAAAGGGTAATAAAAGAAAATTACAGAGACCTAGTTTCTTCAATGTTCCTTAGCAACTGCCAAATAAGACCATTTCTACCTGGGACCCCAGGTAAATCTTCGTATATGGTAACATGCGGTTTACTTATGGATACTCCAATGTCCCAAAAGCAGGGAAAAATAAAAAAAATAAAAAATAGGGAAGAAGAAAATGTCCCATATTAGTCATTTGTTCATTTAGAATACTAAGATGTAGAATTCTGTCTCAATTATTTTGTTAGATTATAGGAAATATAACGTATAGGAAATTCACCTGATTTTTAGCAGAAAAAACTACGATTTCTGAAGAGGGTCCAATCAATCGCCTCTGTAGATTATGCTGTCGAAAGTTGATAATTTATATCATAGGACATGCCATTTTTTTCCAGTAATATTAGATAATGAAAATATCACTCAACCAAGTTTTACCTTCATGGATTCTGATAAATAAAAAATCGAGATTTGAACTATAAACAATAATGATACATGGCACATGGTAATAACATAATGTTGAGAGGAACCTGTGGACCAAGTAATGCAGGAAAAAAGTTACAGATGTCATGCAAAACAACCATATACCACGACTGGCACTGCCATACAAACTAACATCGATTTGATTAACGATCCCCAGGAGAGGTTCTTCAGATGTTTGGTGTGTTTCAGATGTTTATACCAGATCACTTGTGATTTAAATATAAATTGTTTTAGAGTGGAAGGAGATGTTTATTGTGTTTCCGAGCAACAAATGGAAGCCCATTGCCATTAAAGTACTTAAGTGCTTCATAGTCATGAAAAACATTACATACAGTTATAATGAAACATCTGCAGCGGATAAATCAATAGTTAGAAACTTCAAGCGAACGTTTTAATGTCATGAATATATTCCTACTTATTGCAATTTCTTTTGTTTTCACGAATTTTTATTTTCACTGTTTTGTTTTTGTTTACATCAGCATTATTACACTGGTATTGAAATATTGAGACAAAGGCATGAATCGCAATCGACTCAGCGAATTACGGCAAATATATACAACGGGCTAAATATAACTACAATCATTATTGAGTATGGATATGCACTGTACCACTCGCTAAAAATATTCTGTGTATATTTTCAGCAACTACTGTTATCGCGTCATTATCACGAGAACACTTTTGATAAATTATATTATTATTGAATCAGGGCATAATCAACATGTAATATCAATATATATATATACATGTTCGGGGTAAGAATAGGCATACAGCAACCCACTGTATAGTCGTTTAAACAAACTGTGGTGCTTCCTGCTGTTCGTAGAATAATGAAGAAACCAAAAATAGATGTCTTGCAGCTGGGATATTTATCTTGCCTGATTCTGTTTCTGTTTCTACTTTTAAACTTCCGCGTCTCACCTTCTCCCCTATTCTATGTTTTGCCCAATGTAATACATAATTATGTGGATATCATATCGTAAACATCAATAATATACTTTATATTAGCATTCAAACCCCAAAAATGTCAATAATGAGAAAATCGTTTAAACATAGTACGCTCATGGAACAAATATTGAAAATCACAAAAAAATTGATGATATTGTATGCGTAACGAGCTGTTTCTAGCCTTTGTATGGAACATACAATCAAGTGAGAGGAAATCAAAGGTTTATGTACAAAAAACGTTTTTAACATTATCAATCTTATATTATCTATATGATAGCTTGATTTGATAAACCTAGTATTATAGTTATATTAATAATACAAACAAAAGTTAATACACCTTCTAGATATGCGAAATGACGAATAGTAAAGAACAAAAAGTCTACGTTACCATGTTGAAATTTTGTCTTGTTCTTTGCACCGTTCTGTTCTCCCAAAACGAATGTCAACCTTTGGTTGTCCTAAAAACGTCCTGTTCAGCCATACACCAGATATGCTCAAACTGTTGTCTACAGTTGAAAATCGAGAGGACAAAAGACATTGCACAGCCCGTCCATTGGTATGTTCTTTGGTGGCCTCGTCCTCGGCGGTAGTCTTACTACATTTTACTACAGCCCGTCGCGGTGTGTAGTGCGTAGTACTTGCTGTATATTGACACACGGAGTGGACGACAGGTAATGATACAGCGTATCAGTTCTAGCAGCCGACAAAGGCTTGGGCACTATAGCATCGCCTCATCCTTCGCGCGTCATCACTAGGGAGAGACTAGCTAGCTACAACGAGAGAATCGGTGTAATGTCCTTCTGGTAAAAAGCTTTAAAGTAAAAATTAACAACCCGGCCGCTAGGTCTGGTTAATCAGTGTGTGTATTGATGTGTCGCGGTAACGTAAGGGAAAAAAGTAGAGGCTTCTGGTAATATCGATATATACATGTACGTTCAATGGTTGTGTACTGGGGTCGTATGCGGTGAAGATGACATTGTTGACCTGGGTTTTTCTAGGTTAACCACATTGTTAAAGAGGAATTATAACTTTATTGAATTCAATAAACAGAAACAGGTCAATAACAGTGTAACATTAAGTCGCTAACTGATGGCTGATGCAGCCTCATCTCCATTCTAAATTATATATCAGGCACATTTCTCTCCAAGAACTGAAGAGTTGCAAGATAAAAAGATTTTTTTTTACAGAAAAATTGAAAATGTTGATATGAAGACTTAAAGTTATCTGCTATATAACAACAACAACCAAGAGTAATATAGTAGACAACAAGGCATGAATCTGTTTGATAAACTATATAAAAAATAACAATAAAAGCCTATGATAATTAAACGCAAGAACTTTTATTTGGAATCAATTTGATGTTATCAATCCTGTATTTTGGGATGAAAGTTTCTATCGATTTTGATTCCTAAAATAAATTATCAAAACTCACTCTGCAAATAAGATCAGTGAATGTAAATAAAGTCCTAATTACGACACAACCCGAGACACCTATACATTGACAAGTAATAATGATAGTCTGAGAGAATGAGGTCAGCTCACAGACAAAGACATGCTTTATCGATCGGTATAATAGACTTAACACACAACATCAGATCTTACCGTATATTCCAATAGAGAACCACAGAAACTGTGGAGACACGTAAACAATAGTAATATAATAAAAGAACCGGAATCAGGTACTACGGATTGATGAGATTTTTTCTCCACCAGGAAATGAAGCCAGTGACCAACGACATAGCTGGGCATGTATTGTGTCGTTGTAACTGCTTTGTTTATAGAGATATGGATTAAATAAAAGACATAAAAGGTTTTTTATGAAGGAAACGTTCATGGTAAATGTACACTACATTGATTTACGCTTATTTCATTAACCATACAAGATTACGATCATTGGAAAGTACTTCTGGTATCCTGTTTTACATTATAGTATTATAGTGCGTATCTACATCTTTGACGGTAAAACAATAATACAGTATAGTTTATACAAATGATACACGTTCATAAAGGAAATAACGAGTTGGACTCGTTGTCGCCTTTACACACGAATAAGCCGTGATGCCATGAAAACTTGGCTACAGGCACAGCCGTCTCTATGTCGCCCCTACTACAAGTCACTTCCAACGTGTCAACGAATCTTCATTCGGAAGTTTAGCACTTTCGTACAATCAGCTAGGGTGTGATTATATTGAGATCGTTAACGCTGTGCCGCAAGATCGCTGACGGGTTCTGGCTGAACCATGACCCGACTACATTCTGTTTCTAAGATTATATATTTATCTTCTTTGTTTAGTTTTTCTCTGTATTATTATCAAAATATTTAAATCGCTCAATATTGAAATCACTTCACTTTATGTGATTGTGCTCCAAATGAATCAAAGAGACAGGTTTTACTTTGTGAGAGGATCGATACTAATTATATGTATTGTTTTTGTGAAAGGAAAATGAACAAACATAAGTGAGAATCTTCCAACTGTTTAGGGGTGTGTCCCAGGTTGTGAATGATTTTTTTCGCTTATCCCCCAACTGAGGAATGGTGATGTTTAATCTCTGTCCCTTAAAAGGAAAATACTGACGTTTTATACCCCAAACTCATATGAATTTAGTTTTCATTATGACTTAACAGAACATGTGCAATGGATAGCATACTAGGTTGGAGTAATGAAATCACATGCCGGAATAGCCATGAATACACTTGTCACTGTCAAGAGAGAGGTTTCAATGCAAGACTGATCCTCACGTAAAGTGACCCTTTTTGCAATGTACATATCGCAAAATGTAAATCATTGTTGTTATAATGTAATAATTGACTGAATTCCTGAAACCATTTTGCAAGGATCGCGCGCTATTTATCTATTTAACAACTACATCAGAGTGCTGATATAGGCACTGCCCTACAGATTGGTAATACGTTCTTGAATGCTAATGAGATACAGGTGAAGACTAGGGGCAAGTTTCAATGTCTCTATCATGATCTCATGTTCCATTTCCTTGTGCTGTCTGCACGTCGACGCTGTTCGGTACGTGTTCATTAGTGTGCATGGTAGTTTCATTGTGACTCCATGTGATTTCGTGACATAACCTAGATTTGACCTAGATTTAAATGGTGTACGTAGGCGATGGAGCAGAAGACGCACAGCCTTCTTTTAATGGCATCCGTATTAATCTTTGTCCTAATTATTATCGAATTTGCGTTCGAATAACGGTTTTGATAACAATCCTGTACTCTCTTGTTTGTTTTCATGTTAATACCAACAAGGATTCTAATAAGATATTTCAACTATGTCTGGTGTTCGCAAAATTCAATCTATTTGGAAGAAAATCAATACCTATAGTAAGTTTTTCCAAGAGAATACTTTTGTACATGAACATACACTAAGTGATGTCCTCTCAGCAGGTTAAACTTTTTACCAGCTTTTTGTTAAAGATTTGTGTACATCTAAACGCACATGTAGAAGAATACCTACATCAATTTTGCAAATGCCCATTAAGTATATATTGTTTATCAGTCATTTTGTTGTATCCTGGTCCATTGCTTTATTTGCATTCCGTTCGTTCACAACACAGCTATATTGCGTTTCACCTTTGTATTCTATGGACAGCAAACCGATGTAATAATGCTCTGATCCAAGATGGATCACTCCGCGATGGCAGTAAAAGGGGATATATACAAATCCCAAAGGTGTAAACAAAGCACGTACAGGTACAAACCGATTATATGTGGTGAAAGAGATAAACAGCACGTGGTAGCATACTAAATTGTCTGTATACGAGACAGATGGTGAAGAAGATGAACATTTGGTGAGTATTTGCTTGAAACGCTGTGCGTCATCACCGGCCTATCTACGAGTATTTCACCACGTGCTGACCATTATTGTATTTCAAATATTGGCATTGTCGTGACCAGAACATTCATTATACCAATTTTATTTGTAATGAAATATTTACGCTATGCGCTTTTGTGTAACTGTACGTGAAAACAATCTGAAACAACCGGACACATAAAATATGGGCAATTTGGCAAAGGTATATTTGTATACACGGTTCTTGGGGTGCGATGACTGGTAGCCTACACCGCATCCTCGTTACATGTGATAGGTATATTTCAATTTCCGAATAAACGTCAGGGAAATGCATTATCTGTTGTTTGTGAAATGCAATGTATATTTGAGTTATATGAACGGAAATTTTCTAAAAGGTATAGGTAAATGTCAATATAACAGTACATAGTACAGTAATCTGCAGGGTATTAATTAACGAGGTTCCAGCGCAATATGTATCTGTAACCATTTACAGTCACTTGATCCTCATAAATTTACCTTCTTATTGTATTCATTCTGTTTATATGACATTCACAGACACTTGAACCTCACAGATCAATCTCCTTATTGTAGTCATACTGTTTAACTGACATTTACTGACACTTGAACCTCACACATCAATCTCCTTATTGTAGTCATACTGTTTAATTGACATTTACAGACACCTGAACCTCACAGATCAATCTCCTTATTGTAGTCATACTATTAAAATGTAATTAACAGACATCTGAACCGCACAGATCAATATCCTTATTGTAGTCATACTGTTTAACTGACATTTACAGACACTCGAACTTCTAAGTTAACGATAATTAAGTATATGCAAATGTCAGTTCAACAATTTAGCTAAAATAAGTGGATTAGTTTACGATGATTAAGTATATGAAAATGTCAGTTCAACAATTTAGCTAAAATAAGGGGATTAGTAAACGATGATAAGGTATATGCAAATGTCAGTTCAACAATTTAGCTAAAATAAGGGGATTAGTTTACGATGATTAGGTATATGCAAATGCGTCAGTTCATCAATTGGGCTAAAATAAGGGGATTAGTTTACGATGATTAAGTATATGCAAATGTCAGTTCAACAATTAAGCTAAAATAGGGGGATTAGTTTACGATGATTAAGTATCTGCAAATGTCAGTTCATCAATTTAGCTAAAATGAGGGGATTAGTTTACGATGATTAAGGATATGCAAATGTCAGTTCAACAATTTAGCTAAAGAAAGGGGATTAGTTTACGATGATTAAGTATATGCAAATGTCAGTTCAATAAATTGGCTAAATGAGGGGATTAGTTTACGACGATTAAGTATATGCAAATGTCAGTTCATCAATTTAGCTAAAATAAGGGGATTAGTTTACGATGATTAAGTATATGCAAATGTCAGTTCAACAATTAAGCTAAAATAGGGGGATTAGTTTACGATGATTAAGTATCTGCAAATGTCAGTTCATCAATTTAGCTAAAATGAGGGGATTATTTTACGATGATTAAGGATATGCAAATGTCAGTTCAACAATTTAGCTAAAGAAAGGGGATTAGTTTACGATGATTAAGTATATGCAAATGCCAGTTCAACAATTTAGCTAAAATAAGGGGATTAGTTTACGATGATTAGGTATATGCAAATGTCAGTTCAACATGGCAGCAATCTAGGGTTTGATTTAAAAGTTCCAGTATTGCAGCATATCTACAGTAAGGAGATACGAATACTTGTTGATGAATAACTAGTTTATGGACGATGGTGAAATTCAGGGGAAATATTAGGTCTTATTAGCATGGCAGTAATGAAGATTGGGTGATATTGATGTTCTGCAAAGTTGACAACCAAAGATATACTTACTTCTGTTCTATATATGCTGATGCATATTATACAAACATGTAAATGTTACATATTTTGATTGATTCAAAATGCA